CAGGCCCCAGGAGGGTGGGGGAAAAAGTAGTGGGAGTCCCTCTCTGTTTTTTGGATCAGATCTCCTTCTGCAAGGTTTTAGATGCTCACCTGGCCACTGCCATCACACTGCTATCATGGAGTTACAGGGACTGGGCCTAAGACAGGGCCAGGGAAGACAAAAATGGGATACTGATAGTGCATATGTCCCCACTCTTTCTATCCGATGGGTTTCCTTCTGTCTGCACCTGGTATGTAGTTCTAAGAGTTGAGCTGCCTTGAGTGAAGGCCAGGAGATACAGAAGGACAAAGTGAAACCAGAAAACTCACCTTCAAATAAGTCATACTTCAGATTTTGTCCTCCTCCCTCAGTCCTGCTGCCATTTAGTTTTCAGGGCTTCAGGGAGCTGCTCTGTGTTTGCTTGGGGCTTTCCACTGCATGCAGTTCAGTAGGCAAGGTGGACCATACTTGTTGCATCTGAGCTGGAACCAGAAGCCCTGGGACAATCCTTTCTTGCTGGTAACTATTGTCAGAACTCAGTGGGCTGGGGCTTGGAGGTGGCTCTTTGGCAGAAGCTAAGGAGGATGCTTGCCCTGTGCTTTATATGCAGATGTGGGGACCGTCCTGTAACTCTGTCCTGCTTTGTTGTTTTGCCCAGGACTTGGGACCCTGGAGGAGTGGCGCTGCTGGCCCTGGTGTCTTCGGCTGAGCCATGGCGACTCCAGATGTGAGTGTTCACATGGAGGAGGTGGTGGTGGTGACAACACCCGACACCGCAGTTGATGGCAGTGGTGTGGAGGAGGTGAAAACAGTGCTGGTGACGACCAACTTGGCCCCACACGGGTAAGGACCATGTGCCCCCCATCCCCTGTTCAGGGCTTAATCAAAGGAGTATCGGGTGAGTTTACTCGTGACATGGCTGGCATCTCATGTGTAGGGGCAAGCTTCCAGGGGGTGTTCCTTGACTTACGTGGGAACACACTATCAGCCAAGAAAACCCAGCTGTAAGCCTTGTTTTAACTCTTCATCTTCTGCCCTTTTCCTGCACCAACCTGGCCATGTGTTTTCGTTTCAAAAATACATGGTGGTTTTTCCTCTCGCTCTTTTTTAATTTTTATCGTGATTTGGGTGAAAATTTACAGAGCAAATTCATTTTCCATACAGAAGTTCATGCACATTTTGCCTGTGACGTTGACTGCAATTCCCCACAGTGTAACAGCTCTCTTCCCACTTCCTCCCTGTAGTTAACTCTTCCCTGTGTCATTTCTTATTCATTCCTGCCCCCTGAGCTATCTCCCTGTGCAAATACTGCCATTCTGTTCTTTCATGATTGATTGTTTTAAGGAGTGTATCTACCTGATGTAAATGTTTACCCTATATACCTATCATTTGTCTGGAAGCCATAGGAGTGCGTTCAGTTCCAGACCTGAAGGGTAACTAGGAGCCATAGTCTCACCAGGCTCTATCAGACCAGTAAACTTGGTCTTTTTTTAATGATTTTGAGTTTTGTTCCACATTGTTCTCCCACTTTACATGGGATCGTCTATGCTAATCCCTTTCTGAGTGCTTGACAGTGGCAGCTGGGCACCATCTAGCTCTTTTGGTCTCTTAGCCATATAGGCTGAGGTTCACATGGTCTACTAGTCCCTTGGACTAGTTGTTTCCATGTGTCTTTGGTTTTATTCATTCTTCTTTGCTTTGGATGAGGAGAGACCCATTGTTGTGTCTATGTGGCCACTTGCAAGCTTTTAAGATCCTAGTCGCTACTCTGCAAAGTAGGATGTAGAACAGTTTTTTTGTGTAGTATGTTATGCCAGTTGAGCTTGATGTCCCCTATGACCATGGTCCCGAGCCCACAGGTCCAACAACTTGCTCCGTCAGGGTGGTTGACTGTGCCTAAGAAGTTATCATAACTTTGTCTTCTGTTCTAGTTATGTGGACATTCTTACGGGATGTATGTACACATATGTAGAAATATTTGATGACGTGGAGTAGGAGGGAGAATTGAGACTGTTTGGCAGAAATGAAGCCAGAGAGCCAAGTGATTTTCTTGGCATCACTGTTCCTGATAATTTTGAGTATTTTCTTGCTAATCTCATGTCTAATCTCTTGTAGTACTGTCCAAATAAAATGCACCACTCCTCACTTATCCACGTAGTTAGGTTCCAAAGACCAAGTTGTTTTGCAGAAACTGGTGTTAGGTGAAAACAGAGGATGACCACATCAGGTTGCACAATGGAGGATAACCACACTGTTACCTAACTGCCAGGTGACGGGGTTACGTAGCTGCCAAATGATACCATTACGTAACTGCCAGATGACATCATCACATAGCTGCCAAACCACTGAGAATCAGAATCATGGCCCAGCCAAGGTGACTCATGACCTTAACCCATCACAGCCATGTTACTCTCACCTTGCACCTTGGTGTTCCTTACTGCTAGACAAACATTGTTAACAAGCAAAATAGTGGGAGAGTAAATTTTTTACTGTTGTTATAAATGAGAAAGGTCCAATAATGAGGTGGTCCATCAGTGAGGAGTAGCTGTATTAGTTGGTAGGAGCACATCTTTAGTTTGTCTCTGCTGTATCCCCTTGGGCAGAAAGGAAGTCCCATGCTTTGTCACCTGGTTGTGGAACAGTTCCTGCCTGGGAGCTGTTACCTGCTGTACCTGTTCAGGGGGATACAAAACGCAGCAGGCAGCTGAGCAGGGGTACCACTGCTGCATCCTTCCTTTCCAGGGGAGTCTGGGCTGGAGCATCTCTTCTGTTACTCTAAACCTTGCTATCTGTCTGCATGCTGCATGTTTGTGCTGGCCTCAGCTTCTCACTGCAGCGAGGGTAAGCTGCTGACTTTATTCCTGCTGCAGCACTTCTGAGAGGAAGGTACTAGACTGGGCCACCGAATTGTCCCACCCCACTCAGGGAGGATGAGGGGGCTGTGTGTTCAGACCCTCCCTGGAAGGCTCTTTCTGCCTAGCACTCTGGGGACATGCAG